TTCAGTAGAAAACAGTCCAGAATTGCTGCTAGTGTATGGGATAATATTCTTTTGGCCAAGAGACTTGGTCTAGTAGAATTGCTCCTAGTCACCTTCCTCCTTGAAGGATGCACCCGGGCCTTTAATCCCCTGGATAAAGGATGGAGCCAAGTGGCTGCGCTGGGGAGCCCGTCCTGCAGGGCCTGGATGCTCCGGAGGAAGCGTCCTTGAAGCTCTCTGGTCATGGAGCCTCTCTTGGACGTGTGTTACGATGGATCCCCCTTGTTCGACAGCCTCTTGCCTACACCTTTGTGGTCCCAGAGCAGGACTTTTCAGTTGTTCCTGATACAAACTTTTAACTGTGCACTTAGGTGACCGTCCCGCGGGCAGGAAAAAACGCTTCTGGTTTAGGTGGGCTTGCAAGCCAGCCCAGCCCCTGTCTCCGGCCACGCCAGCAAGATGTGGGGTTAATGCTGTCACACCTGGCCGCTCCGCGGGCGGGAAGGGACTCTGCCTGTGCAGGACTGCTCCTGAGTCAGCCCAGCGCTCCGCACCGACCGTGCCACTGCCGTGTGGGAAAAGCCCTTCCAAGCCTGCTCATCCTGTGGGCAAGAAAGGACTCCCTGAGCCCTGTCTTGCCTGCCCACCAGCTCATCTCCTACCTCCAGCTGCTCCATTGCTTCTTTGCCCTGGGGAACAGAAAATCCCAGGCAAGCAGGAAAGGATTCTCTTGACTTGGCCTCAGTTTCCAGTTTCACCTGCGCCTTCCCTGTGTGGAAACCAGAGGAACCATCATGCTCAGAGGGTGGTTCTTCTAGCTCAGCCTTTGCCCCCAGCTGCTCCAAAGCCAATAGCTTGGGGTGCAGGGCCAATAAAGAGGGCACCTGTATGGATAGGTAAGGACTATCCCAACTCCAGACTTCTTTCCTGCCCTCTTGGTCCCCACTCCCGGGCTTGCATCCACAACCTGGAGCCTTCTCCAGGCAGGAGACGCCACTGCTGATCTCAGGGGCGTGAGAGAAGCATCTCTTCACCAGCAGAAGCCTTCAAGCTTCAAGCTGTGCTGCACTGTTAGGAGTGTGGTACTTGAGAAGACACTCTGTGTAGTCTGCTCTGGAGGTCTCTGCCACTGCCAGATGGTAGTGAGAGATGAAGTCCATAAGTGCAAAGAAGACCCTCAATGAGAAAGGCTGGATGTGCAGATTATGATCTTTTTGATTCCTCAGTAGTTAGAGAGGAGCCAGTGGGTCAGGAAACATCCATGTGATCTCAGAACAGAGACCAGCCCGAAAGCTGCTGCTTCATCTTAAGTGTGTGGCTGTGAACCACGAATATTGGAAGGATTGAGGAGAAGGGGGCAGGCACTTGCATCTATGATCTGCATCATGCTAAACTGGAGTTGTTTGTCAGCATCCTTAGGCCTGTAATGGAGAACTGGGGAGAGGAGCAGCTTTAGGGAGCTCCCCTGTCCCCTCTCCACATCAATTGCAATCTGAGCAGAACGTGATGGCCTGCACCCCTGCAGACAGGTTTGCCCTTGATAGCAGAGGCAGGGCAGGAGCTTCCACCACTGTGCAGAGCCAGTGGCAAAGCTGAGATCATACCCTGGGCCTCTGAGCCCCGTCAGGGCTGGTCCAGATCTGCTCAAAATACAGGCATTAAAAACAGTCATAAACTATTCTCATATATCTTGGTACACCATCTCATGCAATTATGCAGGAAGTCTTTTTTAACATAAGAAAATTTTGCAATTCAGGAAAATCTTGGAATTCTCTTCTAAGTGGATAATTTTTAAGCTTCCTGCAAGGTTTTCTCCTAGTTTAAACAAAAACTGCCATGTTTTTTGAGATATTTCAACAAAATCCACATTTTTCATCAAAAATCTTCATATGCAACACTTCTGGCAAGCACACCCTGTCTTCTGCAGTCTGGAGGGCCCTTCGTTCTGCTCTCCTCCCTCCTCATCTTATTTCTTTAGTAACCAAGAACTTGAGTCTTCTGGCATCCAGGGCGTACTGCAAAGCTGCCTGTTTGCCACAGGCTTTAGCTTGAAGAGTGATTCAAGGCCTTGAATTTTGCTGACTAACTTCTGTTAACTTCATTAACTAAAACACTCTACTATGTTTTGTTTGTTTATTTATGTTTTATATTGTGGGTTTTGTACCAGTGATTAAACATGTACTTTAGATATGTAAAATTATTAATAAAGTCTTTAAAATACACTGTCTAGTCAGAATGTCGTCTGTCTGCAGCTAGGGCTCTGCTCGGTGGGTGCTGTAGGATGGTGTGTCCCAGCAGGGCTGCAGAAGGAGGCCTAATTAGATGCTTGCACAAGGCTTCCCTCCGTAAACACGGTGTAATTGGTACCCGTGCAGAGTATTTGGGAGATTTTCCGCCTGTCTTTGAATGGTGAATTGGTTCCTCCTTTGCTCTGGCTTGAGAGGATGTGTAGTGTGAACACTTGTAGTTGGTGAATGTAATACGTAATGCTAGCAAGAGGGTTCAGTGTCTGGAACATCTGATTTTACCATCTTATAAACATATGGTTATCTTGTGCATAAAAGGCTCAAGTAAAAAGTAGCAATAAATCACCATAGCTTCTACATATAAGATTTTAACAGTGCATTTTTTTACTCAAAAGTACAATGAAGTGTTTTTTGTTGTTGTTGCTTTTTGTTTTTTTAACCAGTGCCTTTCCTCTTTGCACTCAAACTACTGCTTTGTCAAACTGCAGCAAAGAGTCAGTTTTGATGACTGGTATTGATTGAATCCAGATAATCACAAAAATGCATCTCTTCAATGTTTGGGTTGGATTTAGACTCCACGCAAAACCTTTATACAAAAAGTTTGAGGCTCAGATATATATTTTTTTAAGATAAAGTATCTAGCAGACAGATTTTTCAGAAGTTTATTCTGCAGGTGTGTAGATGATGGAGTTCAATGCTTTTACATAGGATGCAGTCCTGTATCAGGATCTGTACAGCTGGGGCACGGGCACAGCTGATTCTTAGCTCTCCCCTTTGAAACCAGTTGATGTTGGTTATGCAACATACAGGATGACTGTTTTGTTGCTAGAACAAGTTGGCGAGGGCAATTACAAGAACAGATTTATTTACATTACAATTACAATCCAGCAATTTTTGGATTTGGGTGGGGGCCTACAATTCATCTGAACATTCCCTGCATTCAGGCTTGAGCTGAAAACATGATGAGCCAAGTGTCTGCACCCTTTTTTAATTTTAAACTGGGAGTGCCTGGGCGTATGGAGAAGATGGAAGCAAGTGTCTTGCTTTCAAGCTGTCCTATACAGCTGACACCACAAAAAAAAATGTACCAACAGGCACACGGTGGTCAGAGATGGTTTGGCAGAGCCAAACTATACGGGTCTACATGCATGGACTCAAACACTCTGCTTGCAGTGGCAGGATCTTCTGAACTAGACCTCCTCCTATTAAAATATGGAATTTGGGAGGTACTGCTCTTTAATAATGCAATTAAACAGATTGCATCTGTGCTTAAGTGCAGATATAATTTTTATTTCCACTTAATAATCAAAAAGTCTGCATCGTTGTCTTTTTGTAGATCAGTGGAAAATTGTCCAGAGCAAACAGACAAAAATAGAAGGCTCCAATCTAGCCAGGTTTAAAATCGATAGTAAACACAAAATCAAAAAATAAGATGAAAGGGACCTTGAGAGAGACCTGACATGACCGGAGTGAAAATACTAATTCCAGGAAACAAATAAAAGGTGAAGCAAATATTGCAGCTGACATGTGAATAGAGTTCAGAACACTTAACTCTGAAGGAGACTTTGTGAAATGATGAACTGTTCTCAACCCTTTACAGGAAAAAAATGGCTCCAGACTTCTAGTCTTCTGTTTTTTAAATAATAGGGAAGGTGCTGGGATTGCTCTGCAGGCTCTGGGGGGTCCCTGAGATCAAACAGAGGTGGACAACGGCAGGACAGAGCTCTCCATTCTGTGGGCAGGTTCTCAGTGCCAGGTTTGTTCCGCCATTGTGGGAACATGAAGCAGCTGTGCTCAAAAAGCAGCATCGGGCCGAGCTCACCAAGGCCCTGCTTGCAGCTTCCCCACTCACAGGTGCTGCAGTCCCTGATCCTTGGAGAGCTGTTTCTGCCAGGCAGTACTTTTTCCCTTCCATTCTTGCTGTTACATGTGTGCAGGTGCATGTGTACATATCACTGCACATGTGTCACAGGCAGCAATCGTGCTAGGACTTACTATGGCAGAAGTCTAAAGGCTCCACTGGACTGGTTTCTATGTGTAGTAGAACCTCTTGGAAAAAGGTACCCAGCTTCTTTTAAGCACTGCAAAGAGTGAAGGGAGGTCACCGTGACCTCCTAAAATGTTCCAGTGGTTGATCACCTGTGCTAAAAGTGCACACTTTGTTTTACTTTGTCTTCGCTTTCTGTTTTATTTCATCTTCGTTTTCCTGTCGTTGGGTCTTGTTGTGTCTGTTGGACTGAGAAATTCGGTATCTAACTGATTGCTCTCTTTGTGCCAGTAGACACTGATCTAGTTGGCATTCAACCCTATCCAGACAGAATGAAAAGATGTCATTAAAAGACACATGTTCCCATTCTTTTAGCACTAAAACATTTTCAATAGTTAACTGTAAAGAGGTTGAGCTTTTATTTTTCTAGCTGATGGAGTAAAGTTAGTTCCTTTGTAGTAGTTAGTGTAAGTAGTGACAGGAGTACCTTCATTTCAAACAGAAGCATCCTCCTTCTTAGGTACTATTACACCTCTTTGCATTAAATGTGGAGTCATTTAGCACAGATTCTGTAAAGTTATAAATCTGGTGCAGGTTTCTAATTTTCTGTCAGCACAAAAGCCAAACATTCCTCTCTTCGCTTAAGCATTGCCTTTGGTCTCTGCCTTACATTGTGAAAATACTAAAATGCTGAGGAGTTTCATTTGACTTTGAGCTGCATAGTAAAGGACTCTTTTTGCAACTTCTATACCACTTAGTATCGTGCTGAGAGACCTGGGAATTCAAACCACTAAATGTTGCAAAGTAGTCTGTTAAAGAACCAGTGCTGCCTTTGCCTCATCTCCTCAGCTGAGCTGAGCTCTTCTAAATTATTTACTGAACTTCACTTGCACAAGTCATTGGAGTTAAATATTGTTGTCTCCTGTGGTGTCTTGATCAGCTTTTCTGCCTGAAGGTCAAGGCAAACCAGGCCTTTCAGGATGAACTTTCTGTCTCTTGTGAGGGTTATAAAAGCTAGTTTAACAATGAAGTGAATAAAATGTGCAGTTCTGATCTTGAGCAATAAAACATAAAGCAAAGGCCATGCAACATAAAGCAAGAATGACCAATGCTGCGGAACAATTTCTGTAGAAGCAGAAAGCAAAACCTGCTCAAATTTCAGAAGATATAAAACAATAAACAATTTCCTCACAGAATAACTAATTCTGTGTTTTTAATTGCATGCAGCCTGGGAAGCCCAGATGACTTTTTGGACATTAAGAACTTGGTCCACTTTGCAAATGAAGGAGAAGATGTACAGAAAAGGTGCCTTGGAGGCTTTTTAGGCAGAAACCATTTCACCAGCTCTAGGTCAACTCTCAGCCAGTGGACCTGATCATAGGCAGATGTTCAGAGAACTTCCACCTTGGATGTGTAGGAGTGGATGGATGCAGATCTGATACCCAGGCAGAATGCTGACTTTACTCCTGCTCTCCGTTAATTGACACAAGAGTGGTACACAAGAGAAATCTGATGAGAAAAGATGAAAAAAAAACCTTTTGTTATTGAGTGCTTTTAAATTTTGACCACTTATTTTGGTTTATGTTCTTTCCCTTATTTTTAGCTGCTTCTGTGCCAATGCCTTCCTATCCCAGTTCAGGCTCCGGTAGTTCCTCCAGCAGCTCTTCCACCTCCCACCTGGCGTCGCCTCCTGTGAGTACAGCTCAGAGGGTCGGGACTTCTGTGGGGCTTGTGTGAACAGTCCCCCTACTTGCTCCTTTGAAAGAAGAATTCGGCTTTTGCCATCATCTGGTGCAAATTACCAAATGTATTATTTCAGGCTGGGTTTGGCTCAGTGTCCTCTGCATTCTGTCTACTGTCTGATTAGGGTTTGAATCCTGAAGGTTGTCCTCCTGTTCACAAGGAATTGGTAGTTTGTTGTTGCCTATTATGTGGAAAGCGTTCGCAAAGAAACTGGCATTAGTGACGTTAGTGCCTTGTTAGGGACAGAAATGAACTGAAAAGAGTCACTAATTCAGCGTTTCGCCCCCCTTATTTGGCTGCAGGCTCTCTGTCCTTGAGCAAAATCTCTCTTTGGTGCCAGGTGACCCTCCTCATTTCTCACCACCATCCTCAGGCACCAAGGAGCTCCTTCAGCAGAGCCACATGCCCAGGCCTGTGGTCTTGTGAGAGTTCTTGTCATACATATATATATATATGTATATATATATATTTAATTTCTCCCCTGGTTACCTGAAATGAGGAAAACCTTCCTGAAGGACAGAATATTGAGTGACCAGCTCACTGCTGGTCGTTGTTTTCAGAGGCCCTTGGTGACAGCTGCCTGTTGGGTTCTTGGCACTCAGAAATGCTGCTGGTGTGGCATGGAGGAGAGCTGAAGGAGGGAATTTTCTTCTCCCTCTCTTGGGGTTGCTGCTTTTTGTTGTGTTGGTTTCTTTGGGCTAAAGCTTCTCCGTCTGCTTCAGGGATGCCAGGATTGAGCCTTTCTTACAGTCTCAATGTGGCAGCACATTCAGGTGAAGCTGCCGCGAGTGCTCAGATGTGAATGGGGCAGGAGGAGAGCTCTGCCCTCCTCCAAACCTCACACAGTCATATTTCGAGGGTCATATCCCTATGCTGGCCTCTGCCCTGCTGGCAACCCCAGGCAGGAGGGCTGATGGAGGGCCTCAAGACTAGATGGTGTTAAAAGAAGACTGTCCGCTGGGGCGTCTTGGTTGGGAAGCCCGAGGATGCCACAGCCTCGCTGCCCCGTGCGAGGTGTCCGTGGTGGAGGTGTCCTGCTCGGGCCTGCTCCGCGTTTTCAGGTGTTGCTGGCGGAGCGGGGCTGGCTCTGCCTGTGGGAGAGCCTTGGGGAGCTCATCCCATGGCTCTGCCATGTGGAGTCGGGAGGCGCTCCCGCCTGGAAGGTCTCCTCCCTGGCGGGATCTGCACGCGCGGTGAGGGAGGCTCCCCGCAGCGGCGGCTTTGCAGAGGCAACCGGGCCTTCCCAGGGCCGCGAGTGAAAGCTGATTTAAATCTTTTCAAAAATGCATTAGGGTAAAGGGGTAAAGACAGTCTGTGATCTGCTCAGAAGGCAATTCAGCCGTCTTAAGGCTTTCTTAAACCGCCCAGCCTCCTCCATCTGTCCGTAAGATGTAAGGATTGTGGGGTTACCCATCATTTGGCTGAAGGACGAGAAGAAATGGGCTGTCTAAGGCCTGTCCTTCACTGTGATGGTGAAGAGGCATTTGTCTGTTGACCACTGTTTGCTTTAGGCCTGTCTTTAACTCATCAGCAGTGCTACTGTAAAATAGGGTTGTCCTGACAGCACGTTTATGTGCATGTTCCTGAGTGCTGCTTACTGCTCAAGTGTCACCAGAGAGCAGGCACACATTGTTTACAAAAACAAAACAAATGAGCAACCAAAAACCCTTAAAGCTCTTCTGTTTTTTCTAAATTGCGTTGGTAGAAAATGCATGATTGATCCAGAGAGCCTCAGCAGAGGGATGCATTACCTCAAGTAAATTCCTCTTATCCAGGCTGTTTGACACACGAGTACTATGTTCTGTGTAACAAAAGATGCACTGTTCTGAGGTGGACTTAAAAGACTGTTCCTTTTCAGTATACAGCTGCTTCTGGCAAATTGGCAGCCATAGTTTATCAGTGAAATGTTCTGTAGCCTTTCACAGCCCAATTTAGAGGAACCAGCAGAATGATGAAGTAGGTGTGCTGAAGCTAGTGTTTGTTTTCCTCTGGAATTAGCAGTCCCTTGGAGAGATGCAGCAGCAGCTGCAAGAGAAGACTCTGACGTCTCCAACCCAAGATTCTCCTGGCTTTCTGCACGGGTCGAAGGAGTCTGTTGGAAGCAGCAGTAAAAATTCATCCTGTGACACTGATGACTTCGTTATGGTCCCAGCACAGTTTTCAAGTAAGTTGGTCTCTGAAAATGTGCTTGCTGATGAACCAGAAGTTCTGCTGGGGGGGTTGTGGATGCTAAGGATAGAAAGACAAAACACTGATAAACCTTTACGTTTTGACTGAATAACAGGAACATTTTAGTTCCCAGGCTAGGAGAGACATCTGTTTCACTGATTAATTTCATAGGACATTTCGTAATTAATTATCTTTGAAGATAGGATTTGAGAATAAAGATTTTGGGGGCTTGAGTAAGAGCATAATGCAGACAGGTTTTCAGTTAGCAGACTGCATTTTATACTTGAAAAGTACCTAAGAAACAGGAAAAAAAATCTGTTTGATATTTTTTCAAACATTTGAATTTCAGTTTAGCACCTCTGTGTATGTATATGTTCATAGGAGTTGTATGACAATAGGTATGTGCATGGAGGCCAGGATCCCAGTTCAGCCAAGCACCAGTTATGTCCATCTGTAATTCTCACTTGACCAGCAGAAGGACATTCTTCAACCTTGACCATGCATAGAGTGCTTTGCTGATTTGGGACTTGGTGGTGACTGCTGCAATGCTTCTTTCTATAGCTGCATCACTCATGTTA